TCCAGGTTGCCTTACAGCTGGGATTACACCTGTGTGTGGCTCACTAGCAGGCTTTTGTTTTGTTTTATTTTTGTTTGATTTTGGTTTTTGAAGAAAAGATTTCTCTATTTAGCCCTGGCTGTCCTGGAACTATCTCTAAAGACCAGGCTGGTCGCAAACTCAGACATTCCCCTACCTCTGCCTCCTGAGTGCTGGGAGTAAAGGCGTATGCCACCACTACCTGGTATCACTAGCAGTTTTTAATGAAAACATTTTCATCTCTATGGAAGTTAATTTATACATTTCTGTCTTTCATGGGTTTTAAAAAATCTATTCTATTTTTAGAAATATTTACCTTAGGTGATCACAAATATTTCCCCTGCCTTTTCTCCTGGGAACATTATTATTTTAGCTTTAAATTAGGCATAGAATTGAACTAGGAATTATTTGGGGTGTGACTTGATAACGTGTCAGTATTCACTTTCTTGCACATGGCTGTCCATTGGGATACAAGTATTTATTGAAAAGATTTTTCTTTCCACATTGAATTATTTGGGTTTCATCACCAAAAGTCAACTGACTTTAATTTTTCTACATTCCCAGTTCTGCTTCAAGGATCTATTGTGTCTTGATGCCAGTACCATATTGTTGGGATGGCCGCTGGGGATTGCCGTAGTTTTGCAGAATGTTTAACTTTGTTCTGTTTTTTTTTTTTTTTTAAGACTATTTCAGTTATTAAAGGTACTTTGGCCGGGCAGTGGTGGCGCACGCCTTTAATCCCAGCACTCAGGAGGCAGAGGCAGGCGGATCTCTGTGAGTTCGAGACCAGCCTGGTCTACAAGAGCTAGTTCCAGGACAGGCTCCAAAGCCACAGAGAAACCCTGTCTCAAAAAACCAAAAAAAAAAAAAAAGTACTTTGATATAAACTTGTCAGTTTCTATTTACGAACCTGTTGGAATGCCAGTCCATAATTTTTAAGAATGTACTACACTAATACAAGAAGTTAATCATAGGGAGAGAGGAGGTGTATGAAAAGCTCTCTGCACTTCCTGCCCTTAGAAGTGGGTCCAGCAGTCCCAGTCTAACTCCAGGTATTGCAGCCCTTGCCGATAGCTAGAAAACATGCAGCCTCGTGAAAAGCTTTAAGAAAAAATAACAGTTAATCCATTCTCCATTTCTTCACTGACAGAAACTGAGGTAATAAATGTTTACAGTTGCTGGGCTGAAGAGGTGGCTCAGAGTTCCTGAGTTCAATTCCCAATAACCATGCAGTGGCTCACATCCATTTGTAATGAGATCTGGTGCCCTCTTCTGGCTTGCAGGCACACATGCAGGCAGAACACTTTATACCTATCTTTAAAAAATAAATGTTTACAGTTGTTTTAAGATGCCCAACTTTGGTGACAATCTGTGTTGCAGTATAAACAACAAATGTACCAACTTTTATAATCCTCCTGAAAGACAAATTAGCCACAAGTAATAACGAGTTATGTTAGGATAAGTTCCCAGAAATAAAAAAGTGACTCAAGGGTTATGAACATCACCTAACTGGGCGGTGGTGGCACACACCTTTAATCCCAGCACTCGGGAGGCAGAGGCAGGGCCAGCAAACTATTCTTAGAAAGCCAGGTAGTGCACTTATGCCCATGTCACAGACCCCCCAAAGAAGACCACCACAGAGCCGTTATCCAATGCAAACACACACACTGGGGTTTATTGATTACAAGGTAGCTCAGACCATAATCCAACACACCAATGATGCAGCAGGTCAGCCTCCAGCCCTTGGGGATAAGGGGTTTTTAAAGTGAAAACCGCACGCAGGGTGATGCAAATCTTGGCATTTCGGGATTGGGCAAAGGCATACAACATTTGAATTCCTTGGTTGGAGTATAAGGAAATTACAAAACAGTGGCTGTCAGCAGACAAGAATTTCAAAACAGCAGTTAATCGGATACCCACAGGACATTTGAAGCAAGCAGATGTTGTCTGGACACTCTGGTGGGTCACTTTGACCAGGACAGGCTCAGTTTCTAGAAAATGTTTATGTCTTTGCCGTAGCTGCATTCACACACACACACCCAGTTAGGCCCTGTCTAAGATGAAATTCTTTATCATAATGGAATTTATTCTGCTCCTTCCACAGTTAGGAGGCAGAAAAAGGCAGATCTCTGTGAGTTAAGGCCAGCCTAGTCTACAAAGTGAGTTCCAGGACAGCCAGAACTACATAGAGAAACCCTGTCTCAAAAACAAAAACAAACAAACAAAAACGCCAGATAGCATTTATACTATATAAGCTTAGACAATCAGGACATTATATAGGTACTTATGTACTCAACATGTAATCATTTCAAAATGCAAAACCATTCTAAGTTCAGGACAGGGAAAAAGTAGGCCTTGGCTGTTCTGAACAGTATACTAACCAGTGCTTGTTAAGCTCCTGGTCTATAATCTTTCCTTTCTTTTTTTCAGTATTTGGTTTTTGTTTTTTGGAAACAGGGTTTCTCTGTGTAGCCTTGGCTGTCCTGGAACTCACTCTGTAGACCAGGCTGGCTTCAAACTCACAGGATCCACCTGTCTCTGCCTCCTGAGTCCTGGAATTAAAGGTGCGTGGCACCACTGCTTGGCCATTGTCAATAATCTTAATGTTTTTTTAAAATTTTTAGTTTTGCTTATAAGATTAACATATTATGTTGTTTTAATTTTCATGTAGTACTTTTTAAAACAAAGTAACAAACATCTAATCACAATAGTGTTGCATGCTATCTTTAGAAAAGACATTGGTGAGTTAACACGGTGCTCAGAGCCCATGCTCCCCACTGTACAACTTAGACGTAGCACCCTTCGCCGTCATTGTTCTCAGTCTAGCTCACATCTTCCCAAGTAGTATGTGAATGTCATTGTTTAAACACAAACAAAATGAAATGGGTTGTGATTTTGAGACTTTGTTTTTGCTTTGGTTTAGAGTTTGTAAGTCGGCTGATTCTGGCACAAGTATCTTAACTGAGAAGCGACCCTCTGTTCAACATTGTCCCCGAATTCACAGAGTTCCTGTTGACAGAATGAAATGTCTTCACTCAAGAATCTTTTCAGTGCAGTCTGGCCTGTCAATCAAACTAAATACTGGAGTAAGCAGCACATTTCAAATACATGGGGGAAATGTGGTTTAATGGATGGGGTCCTGCTGTTGATCTGTCAAGAGCTGGGTTTAGAGTGGCTGTGGTGGCATATGGCTTTAATCCCAGCACTCAGAAGCCAAAGGCAGACGGATCTCTGTGAGTTTGAGCTAGCCTGGTCTACATAGTGAGTTCCATGATAGACAGGGCTAGGTAGAGAGAGGCTGTCTCAAAAAAAATAATAAAAGAACTGGGTTTGGTAGCACATGCCTATAATTCCAGTGCTTGAGAGGCTGAACCAGGAAGACTCTGAGTTCAGGGACAGCCTTGGTTACATGTAAAGATTCCGTGTCAATAAAACAAGATAAAGAATGGGTCTATGACGTTTCAGCAGGATCACCCAGCCTGCTCTAGCTCAAAGGCAGAAGTGTCTTACTTAGGGTTACTGTTGCTGTGATGAAACACAATGACCAAATATAAAGGAAACATTTAATTCATAGGAGACCTGCCCTTTCCTGGATGGAGACAGAAAAGGAGGGGATTGGAGGGTGGAAGTGGGGAGTTGAGGAGAGGGACTGGGAGGGGAGGGTGCGGGAAAGACTGTGCCTGGGATGTAAAATAAATAGATGAATTTTAAAAGAGAAAGCATTTAATTGGGGGCTTGTGTACAGTTTCAGAGGATTAGCCCATTTCCAGCATGGCAGAGAGCATGGCAGCCCACAGGCAGGTGTGGCCCTGGAGAAGTCACTGAGAACTTTCGTATCCGTGGCAGGAGGCAGATAGAGAGAGGGAGAGGGAGAGAGAGAGACTAGACCTGGCAAAAGCCCACCCTCAGTGACTCACTCCCTCTGACAAGGCCACACCTCCTAAGCCTCCCTAAGAAGTCCACCAACTGGAAAGCAAACACCCAAATATGGTGGTGGTGCACGCCTTTAATCCCAGCACTCAGGAGGCAGAGGCAGGCGGATCTCTGTGAGTTCGAGACCAGCCTGGTCTACAAGAGCGAGTTCCAGGACAGGAACCAAAGCCACAGAGAAACCCTGTCTTGAAAAACCAAAAAAAAAAAAAAAAAAAAAAAAAAGCAAACAAATATATGGAACCTATGGAGGCCATCCTCATTCAAGCCACCACAGTGGTGATTAGCCCAATTGAGGAACAGTATCCAAAACATCCTAGCAGGGGGCTGGCCTTTCTTCCTCAGCTAAGAGACTGAAAGAACTACTTGAACTGCCCAAATCCATACTCTGTGCGGTATAGTTGCTCATGTGCTGCACCCACCAAGAACTTAAATTTTAAGCATTAGTGGTGATGGTGCACGCCTTTAATCCCAGCACTTGGGAGGCAGGTGGATCTCTGTGAGTTCGAGGCCAGCCTGGTCTACAAAATTAGTTCCAGGACAGCCAGGACTGTTACACAGAGAAACCCTGTCTTTTGTTGTTGTTTGTTTGTTTGCTTGTTTTTTGAGACAGGGTTTCTCTGTAGCTTTTGGAGCCTGTCCTGGAACTAGCTCTTGTAAAACAGGCTGGCTTCGAACTCACAGAGATCCGCCTGCCTCTGCCTCCTGAGTGCTGGGATTAAAGCCATGTCCCACCACCACCTGGCGAGAAACCCTGTCTTGAAAAACAAAAACAAAAAAAATTATTTTAAATTTTAAAAAACGTATTTATGCAGTAATGGGGAAGTTCATCCATAAAGCCTATGTCTGGGGTTGGGGTCAACCCTCTGCTGCTCAAAATCCTTAGCAAGGCATTACCTGGTGCCCTGTGGCCATGACGCACCTTTGAAGGTCCCTCCCCAGCGCTGCTTGTGAAGTCCTTCTATGTCCACTCTCGGATTAGCTGTAGCAGACCTTTGGAGAGCGTTGAAGTAGGTGTCCAGCGCATCAAGGGTAGAAACTCATGCTTGCTTGAGACCTCTAGTGACTTGTTGATATTTGGCCAGGGATTCGAACGAGGCTCTTTCCACAGGGCTCCTGGCAAGGGGCCGTGTGATAGGCACTAGAGCTTGGTCTGGAAGGCCTTTCACATGTCCAGTCATGCTGCCCCAGAGAAGCCAAGTGAGCACACGCAGCGCTGGCCCCGAGGCTTCCCATACCAGGCTTGTGTCTGCCCCTAGGACCTCAGGGCATGTAACTGTAGACTGATTTTGACTGTCTCGGCCACAAGGCCATGCTATGGGTCCTCCCTATTTATACAGATTATCTAACTAGAGGTGGAACATGCAAGTTAAAGATTACTTCAAAATTAAGTTGTACCCATCATCTAGAGATTTTGTTTTTATTTTTGCTTTTGTTTTCATGACAGGGTTTCTCTGTGTAGTCCCGACTGTCCTGGAAATCACTCTAGACCAGGCTGGCCTCAAACTAACAGAGATCCACCTGTCTCTGCCTCCTGAGTGCTGGGGTTAAAGGTTTACGTCACCACCCTGCAATAATGTTCCACTCCGTAGCCCTGGGCAGCCTGGAATTCACTGTGCAGACCAGGATGGCCCTGAGCTGATAGATTTACTCCTGCCTTTGTCTCCTGAATGCTGGAACTAAAAGTGTGTGTTACCCGGCAAGAATTTTTTTAAAGAGTTATTTATTTTTATGTGTGTGATATTTTCCCTCTGTGTATGTCTGTGCTCCTCATGTGTGCCTGGTGTCCGTGGAGGTCAGAGGAGAGTGGCAGATTCCCTGAACTGGAGTTATAGTTGCTGTGAGTCGCCTTGTGGGTACTGAGGATTAAACCTGGATCCTCTTGCAAGAGCACCCAGCGCTCTTAACTAATGCGCCATTCTTCCAGCCCCTGATTTTTTTTTTATGTTGTAACAAATGAAACATCCACCAATCTGCCATATTTTCCCATCAAATTTAAATTTTTACAAGTCAGGGGGAAATGTTATTGTTTGTATCTGGTATCCGAAGTGCGGTAGGTTCTACCCACAGAAGTGTTCAGGTCGGAGCTCCTCTTGCTGCTCGTTAGCAGGATGAAATCATGAGGAGTCCTAACCTGAAGCAGAGGGAAGTGGGCCACACAGGGGAGGATTGTCGGTGGGCGCGAGGTGGGCTACGCAGTGGAGGACTGTAGGGGCGAGTGAGGTGGGCCGTGCAGTGGAGGACTGTAGGGGCGAGTGAGGTGGGCCATGCAGTGGAGGACTGTAGGGGCGAGTGAGGTGGGCCGCGCAGTGGAGGACTGTAGGGGCGAGTGAGGTGGGCCGCGCAGTGGAGGACTGTAGGGGCGAGTGAGGTGGGCCATGCAGTGGACTGTCGTGGGCGTGAGCAGACGCTGCTTCAGTGCGTCCAGGTTCCGCCTCTATGATGACACAGCACCTGCCTTCTTTTTGAACCCTAGCTCTGTCTTTTCTGCCAACAATTCTATGCCATGCTCCTGAAGAAGGTCACATATTCTTGGCGCAACTGGAAGCTGATGTTATTTGTGCAGATTCTGCTGCCTCTGATGATCATTATGTTAAGCCTCACTTTTTTTGACTTCAAATTAAAGAAAATGGAAAACGTACCCTTGGAGCTGACTTTAAAAACATATGGTCAGACTATTGTGCCATTTTTTGTTTCTGAGAATTTCCACTTGGATCCTCAACTTTCAGATAATTTTAAAAAGATGCTCGTGGCTGCAGGACAGATTCCTTTGCATCTTCAAGGTAGGCACCAGGACCAGGAGCTGAGCGGGAAGTAGGGAAACTGCGTATTTCTGGACCCCATGGTGCGCTCTGAAGTCAGACTGACTATCTGAAGCTAAGGAAGACGTCCTTTAGACTCTGGATAACAAGAAGGGGAGGACGCCTAGAGACGAGACCATTGTCTCTCCAGAGGTTGTGGAGTCTTTCATTTGTTTGTTTGTTTCGCCTTTTTAGGACAGGGTTTCTCTGTATCTTTGGCTGTCCTGGAACTCTCTCTGCGGACCAGGCTGGACTCAAACTCAGAGATCCGCCTGCCTCTGCCTCCAGAGGGCTAAGGTTATTGTGTGTGGTGCCACTGCCTGGCCGAGGTTGTGGATTCTTTAAGAAACTGATCGTAATGGAAGGTCCTCAGGTAGCTGATAGCATATTCCTGAAGGGAGTGCAGATACCCAGACCCGTCCTCATCCTTCTTCCCTTCCCATGAGGGGACATGTCTGCATTTCCACACGCTCCTTTCACGATGCTTCACCACAGGCCCCAGCGCAGCACGGCCGACAGACCATGAACTGAGCTGTTAGCCAAGACAAATCTCCCTCTCGGGTATTCGTTACAGTGACCAAGAGCTGTCTTAACACACTGTGCCTCTCAAAACTTGTTTCTTCATACATCAGATTGGGAGAAGCCTGCTTTGCATTGTCGCTGGGACAGTTTGATAATGACCATTTTGTATAGTTGGAGTCCAATGTAATAATGTCAAGGTTATTTTTTTTAAGATCACTAAAGGTCTTTTTCAACTTTAAAGCATAGCGATGTGGCACTGTGTGCTGAGAATATAGAGAGAACAGAATTAGTACAGCCCTCAGGGAACTTCTGATCCAAAGGCCTATCGACAACAAGGTCAGAGCCTGTGGGAGGGAAACCCCACGGTCAGAGCCTGCCACCTGAGTAGGACTGGCTGGTGGGAAGGGAAGATCACTAAAAGACATTCTAAACAACATGGAGACCTGTAAGCTTAAGGAACCCACAGGTACAGAGAGAATCTAAAGACACGAGGCCAAGAGTCTGGAGAGTGACTAAATAGTTTTCTCTCCCTCTGTCAGAATGTACCAGGAAAGAAGATAGGGATCACCCTGGCACGTGGCGCTAAGAGGAGGAGTTCAAGAGTGAGGGCCTCCATTTGGCTTCCGAGGAGAGCTTCATGTTGTGTGTTGGAACATGGTAGACAGGAGGAAGGAATTTCAGGAGGAAGAAAAAGCTTAATCCACTGTCATAATATCTCACTGCTTCCAAAACTAACCACCTCCAAAGAGAAGTAACCCACTCTGGAGCAGCAATGACCACTAAGGGTCAAGCATGTAACCCACACAGTCGTCCGCAGCAAAGTTCTCGCCGCCTTTCTGTGTGTTACACTGGGACTGACTTTCTATAATATAGAAAACGGGTTCTAAGCCAGGCATGGTTGCACATGCTTTTAGTCTCAGCACTCAGGAGGCAGAGGCAGGCCAGTCTCTGTGAATTTCAGGCCAGCCTGGGCTACATAGTGAGACATCTCAAAAACAAACAACAAAACAAAACAGAAAGTACATTTTATAGTATTTGGATGTGTGGCTTTACCTAAAAGTCAGAGTCCCAGCAAGTTGGTAGGTCTGAGTATACTATTATTAAGTACAGAGAAACTATATAGGAGGTGAAGGGTTTTGTTTGGGATCACATGATCCAGAAAGACGTTATGGGGCTAGACCTGGTTGAGGTGGTAGGAAGGGGAAAAGCAGTTGGAATCAAAAGGACTTAAGAGGTGGAAATTTGGAGATCATCTGGAATTCGTATAGAACAGGGCAGGAGGGTTTTAGCTTTTGGATGTATGTGAGGTTGGTGGTAGGGTACCCAGAAGGAACAGAAGACTGGAGGCGTTGGGAGTGGGGGCTCGTGATGAATGCACTGTGTGCCATGGGGTCTGGTGTGATATTTTCTCAGCAATTCTTTGTGTACCTTTGGCTCCCTTCTAGGTCCTGTAGAGGACTTCCTACTGAAAAAGTCAAAAACGTCTCCTGAGGATTTTGATAAGCTCTATGTGGTGGCAGCTTCTTTTGAAGACGTGAATAACCGCAGCACGGTGAAGGTGCTGTTCAACAACCAGGCATACCATTCCCCTGGCCTGGCTCTGGCTCTGGTGGACAATTTTCTCTTCAAGTTTCTTTCCGGTGCCAATGCTTCCATTACCACAACCAACTACCCTCAACCGCAGACTGCCAAAGAGCTCTCCGAGAGTATCTTGTACCAGTACGTTAGCTTCCTCCCCCAGCTTCAAGCTTTCCCATCTGTAGGGACTCTTGCTGCTCTTCACAGGTTTCCTTGAGCTGTGGCCTCATGTTCTGTCTTTCACAGGGGCCCTAAAGGACATTACCTTGTCGTCAACTTTCTTTTCGGAATAGCTTTCCTGTCGAGCTCTTTCTCTATCCTGACCGTCACAGAGGAGAACACTAAGTCTAAGCACATCCAGTTTATCAGTGGCGTCAGCGCAGCTGCTTTCTGGCTCTCGGCGCTGCTATGGGATCTCCTTTCTTTCCTTGTCCCCACTCTCCTGCTAGTGGTGAGTACTGGGTGGTGCTGGGCTCACGCTAGTGGGCCAGGGACTCCCCTAAAAGTCCGGTATACAGAACCAGAACCAGCTGGGAAGTTGAACTTGGAGTCAGTCCTGACTAGAAAGGCAGATACAAAAGCTCTCTCACCACCAACTGTGGTCAAGTTCATTTAGGTTTAATATCTTCAGAAATGGGCTCCCTTGAGCTAGGGTGTTTATGTAGCACCCACAGAACTGCTGCCTCCAGTCAATGAGAAACAGTGTTTTGGAGATGTGTGTGTATGATTCAGAAGTAGGTAACCAGAGTACAGGGGTGAAGAACTTAGATGTAGTTGAATCAAGTAGTCCGAGAGTTCCCCGATTATCCCGTGCAGAGTGGGTCATCCCCTGCTTTGTTCCGTGTGTTTTATCGGCATCTCTTGGTCCTTTATTTGCTTCACTGTTACTGAGACTCAGGGCGGCTTTAGTTCACAAGCGAATGCCTGAGAAGGACTGTTAACGCTTGTTTTAAATCCTGAGATGTCGGGCCTGTGAGAGGGCTCGGTGAGTGAAAGTGTTTGCTCGCAGGCCTCCTGGCCTGAGTTTAATCTCTAGATCATATAAGATGGCAGGAAGAACCAACTCGAGAGTGGTCCTCTGTCCTCCACCCACACATCCCTGGCACACACGCAGCAACTCCACCCCACCTGCACAAATACATAAATTAATTAAAGCAGAAAGAGTACTGTCTTCCTGGCACTCACTGACTTTTCCAAAATTTTCTGTTTCTTAAGCTGGTGTTTTTATGGTACAAGGAGGAAGCGTTTGCACATCACGAGGGCACCACGGCAGTGGTCTTGATCATGATGCTGTATGGCTGGGCCACCATCCCTTTCGTCTACACAGTCAGCTTCTCTTTCAAAAATCCCGGTAATGCATGCGCTAAGCTGGTGGTAATGCTCATCTTCCTGAGCATCTGCCCCACTGTGCTTGTCACGGTCACAAGCGATAAAGGTGAGATCACATCTAGGTCTTGTCTAAATCTCTGCTCTAACAACCCTGGTTGTTACACACTCAGAAATGTGTGTCTACCTACCAAAGACCCGTGAGGAAATGTTCACAGGTGCTAGAGGCTGAAGATTCCCACCTGGAGTGTGCCAAACACATCTCCACAGGGGATGGACAAACAGTTCAATCAAATCACTCAGTAGATTATTGCTCAGTTTAAGAATGGACTACATTGAGCAGAAGAGTCTGCTACATCTTGGGTTAAATCCATGAACAGACAGAGTGGAAGGGGCTGCCTCTGGGTTATTGGGAAGGGGCTGACTAGACAGACAACCTGCCAGGGAACTTTGAGGATGAAGAGTGTTCTTGATCTTGAAGGGGTACTTACTGGTTTATACGAACTTACGTATTTACTGATCATTGTTCACCTGTGAGCCATGCATTTCACTGAAATGTAGTGTTCTTTAACTTAACAAAAAAAAAAGATGAGTCAATTAATGAGCCAGCATCGGAGGATGGGCTCCTGGTAAGAAAGAAACTAAGGCTGAGTTGATTTACAACCTACACCTGAAACTGACATTGTCATGTTTGCACTACCAGGTCTGGATCGGGGTGGACAAAATGCCTGGGAAGTTACCTCTTTTTATTAGGATTTATTTTATTATCATGGGTATGTGTCTGGGTTTTCTGTGTGAATGTGCACAGACGTGGGGGTTCACATGGAGGTCAGAAAAGGGCATCGGATCCCCTGGAACCAGGCTGACAAGTGACTGTGGACTGTCTGACACAGTTCCAGGGAGTCAAACTCCAGCCCCAGGAAGAGTAGGAGGTTCTTAGCTGCTGACTTCCTTCCAGCCCTACAGTGCTCATTCGCCTTGTGCCTCACTTCAGACTGAGTTTTCTTCACTTCCTCTTCTTTCTTTATTTTTAAAAGTAATTTTTAGCCGGGCGGTGGTGGCGCACGCCTTTAATCCCAGCACTCGGGAGGCAGAGGCAGGCGGATCTCTGTGAGTTCGAGACCAGCCTGGTCTACAGAGCTAGTTCCAGGACAGGCTCCAAAGCCACAGAGAAACCCTGTCTCGAAAAACCAAAAAAAACAAAACAAACAAACAAAAAAAAGAACAACTGACTAGACCGAAGATGTGGCTGAGTGGNAAACCAAAAAAAAAAAAAAAAAAAAAAAAAAAAGTAATTTTTATTTGGGGGGTTGGCGAGATGGGTCAGCAGTTAAGAACACTGGCTATTCTTCTAGAGAACCCAGGTTTTACTCCCAGCACCCACATGATAGTTCACAAATATTTGTAACTCTGGTTCCTGAGGTCAAGGTACTAAAAATACACACAGGCAAAACACTCATACATATAAAAATTAAGAAAAATTATTTTATATGCATAAGTGTCTGCCTGAATGACTGTATGTACATTGCTTGCATGCCTGGAACCCAGCCAGAAAGCTGTGTCAGACTCCTCGGAACTGGACTTCAAATGCTGTGAGCCGCCATGTCGGTGCTGGCTGTCTGTCTGTCTGAGCTCACCTCCAACCCTTCCAGCTCTGTTCCCACAACCCTCCTGTAGCCATGCCCTTGGATGTTCTCAGACACAATGTGCTCTTCAGGCTCATCTGCAAGAACAAGGATATGGAGTAACAGATTGCAGGAACCAAGGAAAGCAAAGTACTCGTGGCTTAGAGTTTGAAGGGATAGGGAGTCAGCGCCAGGAGAGGAGGAAGCCAGGTTTCTGCTGGAGACCTGGGAGTAGGATGGTCTGGACTAAAGTGGGTTAGGAGGAACGGCGAAGTGTGCACTTTGACTCATGCAGGTAAACCAGTGCTTTCTGTTCTCTCTGCAGACCTTGGCTATGCGGAACTCTCCGACTCCTTGGATCATGTGTTCCTCGTACTTCCTGGACACTGCCTGGGGATGGCTTTTTCCAATTTGTACTATAACTTTGAGCTAAAAAAGTTTTGCGATGCTAGGAACTTGAGTGATATTAAGTGCAATGATGTTTGTAAGTATTATGAATGAAATTAGCCAATAACAGTTTTATTTAGTTTTGTTTCATGTGCTTAGGTGTTTTGCCTGCAGATATGTCTGCATAGGGTGTTGGATGTTCCTGGAACTGGAAGTTGTGAGCTGCCATGTGGTTGCTGGGATTGATCCCAGGACCTCTGGAAGAACAGCTAGCACTCTTAACCACTGAGCCATCTCTCCACTCCCAATGCTGATGACATTTTAATACTGATACGATTTACATAATATGATTTTATTTTTTGGTTGTTTTTTGATACAGGCTTTCTCTGTGTAGCACTGGCTGTCCTGGAACTCGCTCTGTAGACCAGGCTGACCTCCAATTCACGGAGATCCATTTGCATATGCCTCCTGAGTGCTAAGATTAACGGTGTGCACAACCACTACCCAGATGATTTGTCTTTTTTGAGACAAAAGTCCATGTATCCCTGGCTGTCCAGGAACTCACTACTATTTAGACCAGGCTACCCTTGACCTTGCAGAGATTTACCCAGTTACAAGCCTGTGCCACCCCACCATGATGTAACTCATTGCAACATTCACCTTTTGTATGAAATGACATGGTATTTGCAGATAAGCCATGCATATCTGCACATCCCCCCGCCCCCGTGCATGAATGTGTGTGTGTGTGTGTGCTGCTTAGGATCTAACACAGAGCCTTGTGCACACTAGACGAGTGTTCTGCCATTGAGCTATACCCAGACTGTTCCCACATACTTTAAATTATGATTAAATTTCTCTAAAGTAGTTAATATAGTGTAACTGCTTTGAAAATAGATGCTATGTAAATAGCAGTTACACTATATGTACGAATAATGACAAGAAGAAAACTATAGATGTTTAGTACAGATATGGTTCTTATTTTCTGAGAAGTTTTGACACCCCCAGTTTCTCATTGAATGAACCCATAGATACAGAACCTAGGACTATTTTGTATGGGATTCAAGAATCAGTAGGTTTTTTTCAGCCAGGCAGTGGTGGTGCCTGTCTTTAATCCCAGCACTCGGGAGGCAGAGGCAGGTGGATCTCTGTGAGTCTGAGGCCAGCCTGGTCTACAGACTGAGTTCCAGGACAGGCTCCAAAACTACAGAGAAACCCTGTTTCGAAAAGACAAGCAAACAAACAAACAAAAGAATCTGTAGGTTTTTGTGTTGATGTGAACCAGTGCTTTGCTAGGGGAAGACAGTAACCTACAGGTATACCAAAAGGAGACTAGTTAACAAATTGTAGTACACTATACAATAGAAAATGATAAGCCATGTGGTGGTGGCACACACCTTTAATCCTAGCACACGGGAGGCAGAGGCAGGTGGATCTTGGTGAGTTCCAGGCCAACCTGGTCTACAAGAGCTAGTTTCAGGACAGGCTCCAAAGCTACAGAGAAACCCTGTCTTGAAAAACCAAAAAAAATTTTTAAAAAAGGAAGATACAAGTATCAAAAGTGATTTTATCTGTATATTCTTTTTTTTTTTTTAAAAAAAAGGCTTATTTAACTTTTAATTTTATATACATTGGTGTGAAGGTGTCAGATCCCCTGCAACTGAATCTTCAGACAGTTGTGAACTGTCATGTGGGTGCTGGGAACTGATCCCTGGTCCTCTGGAAGAGCAGTCAGTGCTCTTAACCACTGAGCCATCTCTCCAGCCCCCTTATCTGTATATTCTTATGTGGTCAATGTCCATTATATATTAAGTGAAGCAAGTACATTGGAGAAGATAATGCATAGTATTATTCCATATTCATTTTAAAAGATACTATCTGGGCCAGTGCTAGGTGGTGGTGGCACGCACCTTTAATCCCAGCACTTGGGAGGCAGAGGCAGGCAGATCTCTGTGAGTTCGAGGCCAGCCTGGCCTACAAGAGCTATTTCCATGACAGGCCCCAAAGCTACAGACAAACCCTGTCTTGAAAAACAAACAAACAAAAAAAGAAAATAAAAAACAGATATTATCTGGGCCCGTGAGATGGCTCAGTGCTTGCTGCCAAGCCTGATTACCTAAGTTTGACTCCTGGGACTCACAGGTTGGAAGGAGAGTACCAACTCCCACGAGTTGTCTAACCTCCTAACATGTATAGCATATTTGCCCCCTGCCCTATGCACGCACGCACACACACACACACATACACACACACACTCATGCACTAACAAATAAGAAAATAAATAAACATAACTTTACAAATTAATGGCTAGAGAGGTGACTCAGCTGTTAAGAGCACTGCCTGCTCTTTCTGAAGCCCTGAGTTCGATTCCCAGCACTCACAGAGTGACTAATAACTATTTATAATTTTGATTTTAGGGGGGACTAATGCTTTCTTGGCACCAATAAAATGCAAGATGATATACAGACATGGCACACAGGCAGGCAAAACACCTATCTACAGAAAATAATTCTATCAAGATAATACTTGTGGGTTGAAACTTGGTAGTGATTTGACTAACATGCATGATGCCCTGGGGTGGAGCACCAATAGTGAACAATAAATATAAATAAAAGTATGAAAGAATTATGTACAAAACTATGCAATCATCCCAATGTTTAAGGAAATGAAAAGCACTCTAATTGCCTATTTCATTCTTTTTATTTTTCCTCAGTGAGCACATATTTATTGTATAATTTTCAAATATAGTTACAAAAATTTAAGACAGATAAGATTAAAAAAAAGAACCCTTCAGAGCTGGTCTGGTCTGGTTTGTAGTACTGGATGAAACGCCTAAGGTCTTCTGCATGCTAAACAAGTACTTTCCCACTGAGCTAACCCCCACGTCTCCTCCTGAGATTCTTCTACATGATTGAAAATAAGGAAAAGTCTTTTATTATTGTTGTTGTTGTTTTTTATCTCAAATATAAGAAACATGCTTTACTGTTGAGTTACATTTTTTTTTTGTTTTGGTTTTTTGAGACAGGGTTTCTCTGTAGCTTTGGAGCCTGTCCAGAACTCACTCTGTAGACCAGGCTGGCCTCGAACTCACTGAGATCCACCTGCCTCTGCCTCCTGAGTGCTAGGATTAAAGACATGTGCCACCACTGCCCAGCCCTTTTATTTCTTTTTTATATTTGTTTTATTTACTTGGTTTTTAAATTTTATTTTATGTGTATTGGTGCTTTACCCGCATGTATGTGTGTATGCATGTATGTGTAAGGGATCAGATCCCCTGAAGCTGGAGTGGGGGAGTGATGCTGAGAATTGAACTCAGATCCCCTAAAAGAGAAGCCAGTGCTTTTAACAGCTGAGCCATCATCTCTCCAGCCTCCCTTTCTCTCTCTCTCTCTCTCTCTCTCTCTCTCTCTCTCTCTCTCTCTCTCTCTCTGTTTTTTGAGACAGGGTTTCTCTGTGTAACAGTTCAAGCTGTCCTGGAACTAGCTCTATAGATCAGGCTGGCCTGAAACTCATAGAGATCCACCTGCCTCTGCCTCCCAAGTGCTGAGATTAAAGGTGTGTGTCACCACCATCTGGCCCCTTTTACTTTTTAATTGACAAGAATTACATAGATTTATACAATACAGCTTGAGGAAAGCCTCTTATTACACTTTTTCAAAACAATGATTTGTTTGTTCTTTGAGAATTTCGTAATTTCGTGAAATGTTTGGTTTTATTCTTTCCCCTCCCCCAACTCCTTCCAGCTCGTCCCCATATTCTTCTCCATCCAACTTCAAGTTCCTCCTCTCTAAAAGCAACATAAGCATGGGCTGGGGCTTGTGCTGACCACACCTGAGCAGGAAGCCTGCCCTGACCGGTGCCGCTCTACGGAAGAACTCACTTTCCTTCTCCCAGCAGTTACCGGTTAGGGCTGGAACTCCGTGCCCACTTTTCCATGGCTGGGTTGGGAGTTTTTCTGGCTTGAAGTTCTGAAGATCTTGTGTGTGCTGTCCCCATTGTGTGACCACCTCTAGCTCTTAAGATCTTTCCGCCCCTTGTTTTGCATGGATCACTGAGCCTTGAGAAGGGTGTAGTATAGGCTTCCCAGTTAGGGCAGAGCCTTCCAAAGTCTTTTATTTTCTACAGAGGCTGTAATAGGCTTCTCTGCTAGTTATTGTCTACTTGCAAAAAGAACCTTCTCTGGTGAGGGTTGAGCAATGTGTTGATTAATGTGTATAACAATATGTCATCAGGAGTCATTTGACTGCTACATGCATTTAGCAAAAGAGCAGTAGGTTTTCCCCTAGGGTTCATGACCCTCCTGAGTCACAAGTTCTTGGAACTGTTTTGTTGTTGTTTTTAAGACAGTCTCTCACGTATATTACAGGACTCCCTGGAGCTGCTAAGTAGTCCAGACCAGTCTCATGTTTATGGCCATCTGCCCACCTTAGACTCCTGAGTACTGTGGTTACAGGTGTGGTTACAGGTGTGCTCTGTCGCACTCAGCTAACCGCACTGTTTTTATAGAGCCCTGGGTTAAAGCAAGGAAAAGTATTTTTGCTTACTATTTGCTGGATGTAGTGATGGCGTTGGTAACAGTGATGCTTCTTTTTTTTTTTTTTTTTTTTTTTTTTTTTTTTTTAAGATTGGGTTNNNCGAGACAGGGTTTCTCTGTAGCTTTGGAGCCTGTCCTGGCACTAGCTCTTGTAGACCAGGCTGGCCTCGAACTCACAGAGATCCGCCTGCCTCTGCCTCCCGAGTGCTGGGATTAAAGGCGTGCGCCACCACCGCCCGGCTAGTGATGCTTCTTTTAGTAACACTCGTCACTGTGGGGATTTACCTGCCATACATAAAGCTGAGGAATACCTTTGAAAATCTCCAGAAGGGGGAACTAACCCCTGCTTGTTTCCTATTAGACGAAGGCTATGTGATCCAGCGGAACATCTATGCCTGGGAGTCTCTGGGGATAGGGAAGTACCTGACTGCTCTGGCTGTCCTGGGACCTGTGTACATCATCCTGCTTTTCCTCATTGAAGCCAATGCATTCTGCAAACTGAGATCCAGGCTTTCTGGCTTTGTTAGGAAGGAAGAATTGGTGAGTAAATAGAGGTGAGAGTCATGTAAAACAGGTCAAGGCCTGGCTCTAAGGCAGTGGTCCACAGCCTTCCTAACGCTGCGACCCTTTACTACACAGTTCCTCGTGTTGTGTGACCCCAACCATACAATTATCTTCATTGCTATTTCAGAACTGTCATTTTGCTACTGTCACGAATGGTAATGTAAATGTCTGATATGCAGGATATCGGATATGCGACCCCTATGAAAGAGCTGCTCTACCCTCAAAGGGGTAGAACCCACAAGTAGAACCACCGCTCCAGAGCTTCCTTCCTGGGTTCTTTAGCTACCTTCATATATCAGAGGGATCCCAGGGCAGAGAGGTGACAGCCCATGTCCAGGGACCTTCAGAGGAAGAGAAGAACCTGACTCAGCCCCTGAGACCCTGGTCCATATATGGCCACCTGGGGTGTTTTAAAGGCCAGCTTCTCGGCTGAACAGGAACAAGCCCCTGGCTTGCTAGAACACCTTGTGAGACACCTTCTCCACAGTCAGCTAAAGAAAGGTCTGTTGTGTTTGCTCGTGGAACCAGCATCCTCTAGAGGACACTGGAGGGGTGGGCTTTTGTTCATCTTCCCTTTCCTGGGCTTTACGTTGGTTCTTCCGAAAGCTGATGGTTTGTGATTTGTGTGCCTACCTCACCACGGATGCAGTACCTTCAGGGTGCACCACAGAGGCCCGGTTCCTTGACGCCAGCCAAGCTCTACCTCCTACCCCTGTCAATGGAAACCAGTTACATGTCCACCCTTGTCTTGGAAACACAGGGAATATTCCTCGATGTAACAGAGCCGGAAGATGAAGATGGAGATATACTAGATGAGGCAGAAACCATCAAGTTTTATTTTGAAACATTACTAAAGAAAAATCCACTTATTGTTAAAGAAGTGTCAAAGGTAAAGCTAGATTTGTCTTTGCTCCTTTATCTGTTTTTTTTTTTTTTTTTTTTTTTTTTTTTTTTTTTTTTTTTTTTTTTTTTTTTTTTTTTTTTGTCTTTTATCTTTTTGTCTGTTTGATTTGGGACAGGATCCTGCTATACGGCCTACGTAGACCTACCTCTGCCTCCTGCATACTCTGGTTACAAGCATACGTCATGCCTGGTTCTTACAGTTGGCTTTAAAAAGCCAAGGATACTTTTCTTGTGGGCATTTTACACACAGAATCAGTCTTCTGCTGGGCAGACAGGCTTCCAGGGAAGACAGACTTAGGTTTCTCTGTCTGAGAATGAAACACACCTGAGTTCATTTTGTACTCAGAGACAGAGATCGTTGTAGCTTTGTTGTCTCTTCTGTGGTCTCCTGGATAAAGGGGGGGCCTGAGATAGTAAGGAATGAGAGCCATGCTTGCTAAAAGCTTGAGAAAGAATAGAAGGAGAGATGAAATAGGCTTGACCTTTCCTGTATCCACATAACAACTGTGGAGGTGCCAGGTGGGCAAGGGCTCTGGAAACTAATAGAGCCTCCCTCACTTATGCGATTCCTGGGAAGAATTTCAAAGGCACCTTTCAAACATCTGGGTATTTTATAGGATTCCCCCACCCCAGGTTTGTCAATCATGTTGTTTTCCTTCTGTGTCTAGTGATTAAAACACAAAAAAATAGGGACCTGGAGAGATGGCTCAGCAGTTAAGGGCACTGGTTGCTCTTCCCGAGGTCCTGAGTTCAATCCCCAGCAACCACGGGGGTGGCTCACAACCATCTGTAATGAGATCTGGTGCCCTCTTCTGGCCTGCTAGCATATATGCAGGCAGAATATTGTATACACAATAAATAAATCTTTAAAAAAAAAACCAGCCCAACATGCTTTTGATTCCAGTACTGGGGTGCTGTGGAACAATCTTTGCACACTGCAAATATTTATTGCTCTCATTGTTAATAAAATAAGAACGATGATTGGCCAATGACTAGATGGGATTTTCAGGACAGAGAGAACACTGGGAAGGACAGAGTCAGAAGAGTCACCAGACAAAAATGAAGCAGGACATGAAGGAGAGGGAAAAGCCACAACAAGCCTCGGCACCGCACATAGGTTAATAGAATGGGTTAATTTGAGTTTTAAGGGCTAGTTAGTAATAAGCCTAAGCTATCTGCTGAGCATTTATAAATAATATTAAGTCCTTGAGTGGTTATTTTAGAAGCGAGCTGCTTGCGATCCCGAACAACAAAAACTCTGCCTACACTGTGGAGACAGAGGCAGGTGGATCTCTAAATTTGAAGCCAGCCTGGTTGACAGGGTGAGTTCCAGAACAGCGAGGGCTACACAGAGAAACCCTGTTTTGAAAAACAAAAACAAACAAAAAAACAAACCAAACAAAAAAATAACCCTTAAGCAACATCAAAGGGTTTTATTTGCTCAGAGACAGAGAGAAATGGTGAACCAAGCTGACAATGAGCAGGGGCTGTCGGAAGAAAGGGAACTTTCTGGGTAGTGGCCGGAAGGAGAAAGTAGTCTGAGCTTGGGTCCTAAGAGGCAGCTCTCAGACCTGCGAGACAGTGTGCAATGGCTGCTGACCTCCTCTCTTCATCTCTGCCTCGTGTCTCTCAGGTCTATAAAGGGAAGGTACCTCTGCTGGCTGTGAACAAGGTGTCCTTCACCGTTGAAGAAAAAGAATGCTTTGGCCTTCTTGGCCTCAATGGAGCTGGGAAGACTTCCATTTTCAACATGCTGACTGGAGAGCAGCCCATCACTTCAGGGGATGTCTTTGTCAAGGGTTGCAACGTCAAGTCTGACCTGGCAAAGGTGGGTATGGTGCACAACCAATATCGGTGACTGGATTCAGGGTCATGAAGCTTGGAGCTTGATCTCTAAAAAGTAATCCCCTGAATCTAAATGCACCCTTAGATGCTTCTCTGAACTCTTGGTCAGATATAGCACTAGCTCTCATATGCCCACAGGAACCATAGGGATGAGGGAACACACATCCTCCTGTCATTTAAGGTACCATCCAGGTTACCCAGTTGGCAGCCATGGTCAGTGGAGGCTCCCACCACTGAGGCTCCTCAGATGTGTTCTCTTAGCCCATTTCTACTACAGTCACCCTAGTCTGTATCTTCCCTGTTTCTCTGTAGAATCTGGTAGTTCTGGCTTTTCCAACTTCTTCTGCTTATCCCACAGGTTCCCCCTCTTTGTTCATCTCTGTCCCTAACAACTCTTTCTCAGACTCTTTTAGTAACTCTTTCGTCTTGCTTTGAGACAGGATCTTAAAATGTAATCAAAGAACAAATTTTACTAATTTAAAAAAAAAAATTTAAAAACCTTCTCTGGGTATATAGCGGCTAACCTGAGTTGGGAGCAGGGTTGTATGGGGATCTATAGAACATAATATTCAGTTAGAAAGGCACATTAGGCAACAGTAAATATGGGATGGTGCCATTGACAAACTTCATCCAGTCTGTTGTAGGAGAGCATGTCTGTGGAACCCTGCACAGAAGTCTGGAGGATACATACATTCCAGTCAGACCGCAGGCCCTGGTGGAGACACCAGGGCTCTTTATGTAAATGCTTCATGAAGGAAATCTACTTATAGATTACATGTCTAATAGAAAATATTTCTAACGTGAGGGCCAATGAGATGGTTCAGTGAGTGCAGGCACACTGCAAACGCCCGAGCTCCATCTCTGAAACCCATCTGAAGGTATGAGGAGAGAACCAAGCACAAAATTGTCCTCTGGTCTCCAGTTATGAACCTTGGCATTCTTGCACCCATTTCCGCCTCTACATATATAAGAAGAAGGAGGAGGAGACGTAGTAGTAGTAGTAGTAACTTCTTAAAAAGGAAGAAAAGTAAAAACCAAGATGCTTCTCCTGACTCCTAAAATAAGGGGCACTAAGTGCTTCAGGTTTTGGTACGTGTGGAGCAGGAGGAGGGAACCAAGCCGCAGCCCTCCTCTTCCATTCTTTAGCAGCCTGTTCACCAACACTACCAGCGTTGCCATCCTCCCACTCCTGGCTCCCTCATGCTGCAATGTTCCTCACGTAGACAAGCCCTAGGCGGTGTCCCAGAACTGCTGGGTTGGCAGACAGGAAACTGGCCCAAGAGGCTTCACTCTGATGTGTCTCCCTCCCTCAGGTGCGCCAGTATATTGGTCACTGTCCTGAATTTGATGCCCTGCTAAACTTCATGACAGGAAGAGAGATACTTGTCATGTATGCCCGTATCCGGGGCATCCCTGAATGCCACATTAAAGTCTGTGTAGACCAGATCCTTGAGGACTTACTCTTGCACGTGTATGCAGACAAGCTGGTAAAGACCTATAGGTGAGATCTGGGGATTCCCTCATCCTTCCCACCTCCATTTGCAAGATAACCGCAGTTCTCAGCGCTGGGGTGTAGGGTTAAGCCCATCAGCTCAGGCATGGAGGAGCTGTGTAGTCCTTGCCACGGAAGATGGGGTGAAGGGAAGCTGGCTTCTATCCCAAGCCAGAGGCAGTTTTTTGTGCTGAGAACAGGTATATGTTATCAAGTGTGATTATAACAGCTAGATGGGCAGATCTTTATGTCTGTTTGTTCATGGCAAGCTTCCTATTGGGTAGGTTTTCATATTAGACCCATAGTTACCTCATCCTGATATGTCTCCCAAGAAGTCCGAGGTGGTTTATCACTGTTGCCAGTAACAGAATCCTAACTCAGATTAATCAAAGCAAGGCAAAAGATTGATTTACTTTTTTAATATTTATTCATTTATTATGTATTTATTTATTATAGATAGTGTTCTGTCTGCATGTATGCCTGCAGGCCAGAAGAGGGCACCAGACCTCATTACAGATGGTTGTGAGCCACCATGTGGTTGCTTGGAATTGAACTCAGGACCTTTGGAAGAGCAGGCAATGCTCTTAACCGCTGAGCCATCTCTCCAGCCTCACATTTTTACAAACTTTAAAAGATAAATTACATACTGTAAAATAGTTGAAAATAGGCGGGCAAGAAAACAAAAACAAAACAAAAAGCCAGGTGGTGGTAATACACACCTTTAACCCCAGCACTCGGGAGGCAGAGGCAGGCGGATTGCTGTGAGTTCGAGGCCAGCCTGGTCTACAAGAGCTAGTTCCAGGACAGGGTCCAAAGCTATAGAGAAACCCTGTCTCAAAAAGTGGGGAGGGGGCACTAACTGTCCAAATCCACAGGCTCTCCTCACACTACACACTGTGCCCCTGTAGGCAGGTGTCCAGCAGTACCCCAGGTTTGGAACTGGAGAGTGGCGAGATGCTGCTGACTGGCAGTGAATCCAGGTGTCCAATAAAGAGTCCCTGCCCCTTCCCCCGGTCTGTTGGCTTGAGTCTTTGGCAGCTTTTTATATTTCCTTCCATATTTAGAGGATCAAATAAATTTACATTTAAAAAGTCTAGAGGCCAGGTGATGGTGACTCACACCTTTAATCCCAGCACTCAGGAGGCAAAGGCAGGTGGATTTCTGTCAGTTTTCGCCAGTTTGCTCTACATAGAGAGTTCCAGGACAGCTGAGGCTACACAGAGAAACCCTGTCTTGAAAAGTCAGAAAAAATAAAGAAAGAAAGAAAAGTTTAGACTAGAGTTTTGCACACAGTGAATGCTATGTGAGTTTAATGTGGGGAGGGCCGGGAAGGATGGCTCAGCACTTGAGAGTGCTTCCTGCTCTTGCAGGGGACCCGGGTTTAGTTCTCCAGCACCCATAAAGCAGCTCAAAACTGCTTGGAACTCCAGTTCTAGAGAATCTGATGCCCTCTGGCTGTCATGGGTACCTGCATGCAGGCACACACACATATACATAAATTTTATAAATTAAGAAAAAAAATAAGCAAAGCCAGTATAGTGGTGTGCATCTATAGTCCCATGCTTCTTGAAAGGCCGAGTCAGGAGGATGAGAAGCCAAGGCCAGCTGGGACTACATAGTAAGCATCTCAAGAAAAACAGCTAACTAAAATGGTCTTACACCCTTACTCTCAGATGGGTGGTGCCCTACCCCCAGTACTCATAGAGACCTTTGAAGGGTCTCAACCCTTCAACCTGGACATCTAGGTCCATTCAGACCTTTAGTGAGCAAACCAAGTCACGATTCAACCTGAGTGAGGCCGCACCAGAGTAGGCATCACCTCAGAGAAGGAAAGAGTCGGGGGCTGAACAAGTGGGCTTCAACGCCGGAGGCCACAATCACCATTCTCCATGTCCCCACCTTATCCCATCCACACCCAGTGGTGGCAACAAGCGCATGCTGAGCACCGGCATCGCCCTCATTGGAGAGCCTGCGGTCATCCTCCTGGATGAGCCGTCCACCGGCATGGACCCTGTGGCCCGACGCCTACTCTGGGACACTGTGGCCCGGGCCCGTGAGTCTGGCAAGGCCATTGTCATCACCTCCCACAGGTAGAGTTGCATCTGTGGGTCGGGGCAGAGCCAGAACAGGTGGCTGGGGTGGGCCCAGGTGAACAGAAGATACGGCAGCAGCCGCGCAGGCTCTGCCAGGACATTTCCCAGGCTCTGCATGTGGGTACAGTCAGCGTGGGGAATCGGGAATGGCCTGATCTAGGCACAGATGCCCTCCTGTCTGCACAAGCCTTTGACATCCAGGGTGGGCATCGGCCTCCTCCAGCGCTGTCTCAGGCTCTCTCCCTTTCCCCAGTATGGAGGAGTGTGAAGCCTTATGTACCCGGCTGGCCATCATGGTTCAGGGCCAGTTCAAGTGCCTGGGCAGCCCACAGCACCTCAAGAGCAAGTTTGGCAGTGGCTACTCCCTGCAGGCCAAGGTGCGGAGTGAAGGGAAGCACGAAGTCCTGGAGGAGTTCAAGGCGTTTGTGGAGCTGACCTTCCCAGGTGTGTGATGGTGCTGGACACCCTGCCTGGACCTGTTAGCTGTCACACTCGGGCTGCCCTTTCTAGCCCTCCAGTCCAGCCCTCACAGAAGCAGTCTCTCTTTTGTGCAGGCAGCAGTCTGGAAGACAAGCATGAAGGTATGGTCCAGTACTACCTCCCTGGCCACGGCCTCACTTGGGCAAAGGTGAGTGCACCTCTTATTTCTCCTGCTCTCTAGAAGTGGCATTCATGTGTCCTCTGCCAACACTGGAAATGTTTGTGTGCAAGTCATGAGGCATAAGGTTGAGCTGGAAGGAGCCTCAGAAGTCAGCTCTCCCCCCCCCCCCAGCTTTCAGGGAGCAGGGAGCAGGCCTAGAGAGGAGCTACATGCCCAGTGCCACATAGCAGGCCACAGACCCAGTGGGACACCGCTTCCTGCCACCATTCCCACAGGCCTGACTCCTTTGGAGGTACTCTGTAGCAGCTTCCTGAGACCAGCACTCTGTGCCTTGTCACAGCTCCCAGGGGATGGCTGTCTCTGCACTTCACCTGTCCCTGTGGCCACCCCATCACCTACGGGTGGACTTATCTGCAGCAACTGGCTTCCTCTGCTGCAGGTGTTTGGCATTATGGAACAAGCCAAGAAGGATTATATGTTGGAAGACTATTCCATCAGCCAGGTCTCTCTGGAGGACATCTTCCTGAGCTTCACCAGCCCTGTGTCCTCCACGGAAGGACAATTCCGACAGGGGCAAGCTGTCCTAGCCAGCCCGTCTTCACCCTCTCACTCCGTCTCACCTCCTTCCTCCAGTCCTTCTTATCAGCCTCCCCCGCCTCCATCTCCACCTCCCTTAGAGCCTGTCCCGCTGTAATAAAGACCCTAGTGCAGGGTAGCGTGCTGTGCACAGCCTGCCGTGTTAGTCACTCTGACACTGTGACAGATTCCCTAGCGGAAGCAGCTTAAGGGTGACGTGGTTTATTTTGGACCATAGTTCAGTGATACAGTCCCTCATGACGTGGAAGTAGTACAGGAACGTGAAGCAGCTGGTCACCTGACATCCTCAGTCAGGAAACCCAGAGCAATGAACACCTGTGCTTGGCTCACTTTCCCCTTTCTTTTTTCCTTTTCTTTTCTTTTTCTTTTTTTCAAGACAGGGTTTCTCTGTGGTTTTGGAGCCTGTCCTGGAACTAGCTCTTGTAGACCAGGCTGGTCTCGAACTCACAGAGATCCGCCTGCCTCTGCATCCCTCACTTTCCCCTTTCTGTACACTCCTGGATCCCCACGCACAGTGGGTCTTCCCACCCCGACCTACTCAAGACAGTCCCCCACAAGCATATTCACGGCCAGTCTGTTCAGCGATCCTAGGTCTCATCAGCTGACTATCCAAATCCCATCCCTTGGCAACTCAACACCAAAGCACATTACTTAAATCATAGCCTTTCTCTTTGTCCTCGTTCATCTCATAGTGCAAGGTACAAAAGTCCCCATAGACTCTAACAGCTTTAACAGTGAAAAGTCCACAGCTCACATCTCATCTGAGATTCAAGGCAACCTTTTTTGGGTGTGTGGAGGGCTTCAAGATAGGGTTTCTGTGTTGTAACAGCTGTGGCTGTCCTGGAACTAGCTTTATAGACCAGGCTGGTCTTGAACTAACGGAGATCTTCCTGCCTCTGCCTCCCAAGTACTAGGATTAAAGGTGTGTGCCACCACTACCCGACTCAAGGCAACCTCTTAACTGTTAAATTCTATAAAGCCCAAAACAAGTTATATAATTGCAACATACAATGGCACAGCGTAGACATTCTCTTTCCAAACTGGGAAAATAGAGCTTAGCAAAGAACCACCAGCTAAAGTGTAAACATGGAGATCACTGTGTAGACAAGGGTGGCCTCTAACTCAGAGATTTGCCTGCCTCTGCTTTCTTTTCTTTTCTTTTTTTTTTTTTTTTTTTTTTTGGTTTTTCGAGACAGGGTTTCTCTGTGGCTTTGGAGCCTGTCCTGGAACTAGCTCTGTAGACCAGGCTGGTCTTGAACTCACAGAGATCCGCCTGCCTCTGCCTCCCAAGTGCTGGGATTAAAGGCGTGCACCACCATTGCCCGGCCTGCCTCTGCTTTCATAACTGAAAAGCCAGTACCATCAGGTCAATGAAGCAGAATCCTGCTGTGGGCTCAAGCCTCAGCCACGCCCCCCTGGACCACAGCTGTGTGAGCTTCCCATGCTGGCCCTGGAGCACTTCCCTAGGCTATCGCTTTCGAGAAGCCAGGAACCCTTTCAATTCATTCACTTTCAAATAAATCTGGATCTCGACAAGATAGACGGGGATTACCCAAAACAGCTCTGTTACTGCCTGCACAGTGCAGAGACTTCTTTTCAGCGGTGCTGACTTTACCAGTTACATTGCTTTCTCTGAACAGCTCAGATACTCGCCTGTCTTCCTAACAAATGAATTCATCACCCTTACATCCCTCACTCTAACTCTCAGGGTGTGGGAACCAGATTCTAGGAGAAACTATCATCACACGACAGGCCCCTGGTCGAGTCCATGTCCACCTCTGAGACTCCGCGAACTGAGCTTCCACGGTCCAAAGATGCCATCCTCGCCCCCCAAGCTCCCACCGGAATGGCTCACTAAGCTCTGCTCACAGCGTTCCAGAGCTTCTCTGGCCCAAAGTCTCAAACTCTCCTACACTTCCCCACTTCCAAAGGTCAGGTTTATGACAGCAACGGCAACGCCTCTTGTCTGTGTAAATGTTTTTAGTTGTTTACCTTGCACTGTAAAATATCTTGACAAAAGCATCTTCAGAGTTGACTCAGGTCACTGTCCACTACGGCGGAAAAAACTGGTCTCATCATGGCCACAATCAGGAAGCAGAGATCATGAGTACCTGTATTTGGCTCCACGTTCTGTTCTTTTTAAACATTCCGAGACTTCCAAGGGAATGGTGCCTCCCACGTGGGTGGGTCTTCCCATCTCAGCCAAGATAAACAATGCTCCACAAGCTGACAAGTGAGATTAGCATCAACCTGCCGGGGTTGCACGGTTAGCTCACAGCCAAGTAAACCAAAACCGGGGGATCGTCCCAAGTTGCACTCACTGGGCAGAGTGGCACAAATGCTCCAGAGCCTGGTGCAGAACCCCGGTGCATTTCAGAGGCAGTGAATGCCCCCCGAGGTCCATCTGATGACCTGTGGGCTCTTCGAGACCTGGCCGTGGGAATGTAGGAAGCTGGCGGAGACCGCTGTGGGAAAGCATGTGGGAGGGCCGAGAATCAGAGCCCGCGTCTGAGTCCTCTGGACAAGTCATGCTGTCTGGAAGGAAGCGGTGGAAACTGTGGGGATGGTGGGTGTATATTTATTTCCCAATTTCATCCCATCCCATAGTGATGCTAGAGTTACCTCTTCAGAGGGGAGGAATGTACGGTTACATTGAAGGTCCATCAAGGGAATGCTATAACTTACTAGCCAAATGGTTGGAATCTCTTTCTGAGTGGAGACATGCCACTGCCTCCTTTCCTAAGAGTTCATTATAGCCAGCATGATGGCACATGCCTTTTTTTTTTTTTTTTTGAGACAGACTTTTTCTATAACTGTGGAGCCTGTCCTAGAACTAGCTCTTGTAGACCAGGCAGGCTCGAACTCATTGAAATCCACCTGCCTCTGCCTCCCGAGTGCTGGGATTTAAGGCCACCACTGCCTGGTGGCACATGCCAGCTCTTGAGAGGCAGAGACAAGCAAATCTCTGAGTTCGAGACCAACCTGATCTACAGAGTGAGTTCCAGGGTAGCCAGGGCTATGCAGAGAGACCTTGTCTCAATATAAAACAAAAGGGAAAAAAAAAGGAAAAGTTAATTCAATTGAATAAGTTACCTGACCAAGGTGCAATCCTTCAGGAAGGCAGGTTCACTTAAAGCCATGCCAAAGAAATGGGAGGTGTCTTCATTACTTTTCTATTGTCATGAAACACTATGACCAAGCCAGCTTAGAAAAGGAAACATTTAACTGGGGCTTTGCTTCAAATGTCAGAGGGTAAGCTGGGCGGCGGTGGCGCACGCCTTTAATCCCAGCACTCGGGAGGCAGAGGCAGGCGGGTCTCAGTGAGTTCGAGCCCAGGTGGTATGGTCTATAAAGGGAGTTCCAGGACAGCCAGGACTGATACACAGAAAAACCCTGTCTCAAAAAACAAAATCAAAGAGAGTGAGCCCATGACCAAGATGGTGAGGATGAAGGCAGTGAGCGGGTAGGCATGGGGCTGGAGCAGCAGCTGAAAGGTCACATCAGAACACAACCACAGCAGAGAGAGAGCTGAGGAATGGTGTGGCTTTGAAACCTCTTCCAACAGAGCCACACCTCCTGAGACTTACCGGGTCCACCAGCTGGAGGCCAAGCTTCAAACATAGGAGATGATGGGGCCCTTTTCATTCAAACCACCGCAGGAGGAGTGACCCCTTTCATGAGATATTATACGTGTGTCTCTCAGAATCCCAGCCCTCTTGGGGGTGCTTACAGACCCACAGCCATGCAGCTTTGTTAGCTTGACCTTTCCTTTTCTCTCTCTCTTATAAGCATGCTCTCCCTAACACTTTGAACTCCCTCACTTTGGCTCTAAAGCCCCACAACCCCACTCTTTGCTGCTTTCTGTGATGTGGCTTCCTGCTCACCAAACCTCTATGAATAACCCTAAGGCCATAGCTTTCTGGCTTCGTCTCCTCCATCTCCCTCCTCTGGGCAGCTTCTGATATTTATGGTTTGCCTGTTCTGCGGTTTTTCTTTTAAACTCTAATAAAATTGTGTGTGAGCTTCAAAAAGAAGAAGAAATGTTAGGGGCCAGGCTGCTTCTCCTCGCATACCCTGGACCTGCAGGGACAGAAGAGACCTCCGGAGGAGTATGGCTCCCACGCGGCTCTCCCCCACACCACACTGAATGACCTCTGTCAGAACCAGAGGAATTCAAGAAGGCCATCTCTTGACCCCGTGCAGATGCGCCAGCGATTCACTTCCTAAGTATGCTTCTTATTTCTTTCTGTTATTTAATCTCCACTCTTGCATATATGTGTCATGATGGTTTTTCTTTACTGTGTATATCGCTCAGTTAGATTTTAAGATTGTTCTGTATGTTTCTCCACTCGGTATCCTCTAAGGCATTCTTTACTAAACATTTTCCCCCCCGACAGGGTCTCTTCACATAGCCGGGCTATCCTGGATCTTGTTATGTTGACCAGGCTGGCCTCCCACTCACGGGATCTGCCTGCCTCCGCCTCCTGAGTGTTTTACTGTGCTTTTCATCCATATTTCATATACTTTCTTATTTCTATGTCTTTTCCTCTTCCAGCCTTTCCCTTTCATTGCTTTTACTTTTTAATTGTAATTTTCTATGGCTTTAACAGTCCCTAGAATCTGTGGATTCTAACAGCATCCCATACTCCCTATACCTTACTTCCTCATTTTTTTTTTTGTTGTTGTTGTTGATTTTTTTTCCTTTTCAAAAATCAATCTGGCCTTTAAACAAAAGACTCAGGAGGCAAAGGCGGGTGAATCTCTGTGAGTTCAAGGCCAGCCTAGTCTATAATAGCAAGTTCCAGGACAACACAGAGAAACTGTTTTGAAAAACAAAAATCAATCTAATATCTATCCCATCCTCACCCACCTAATATTATTAATTAAAATACCACTATACTCTGTATTATCCTTAGTTGTTTATCCTCCAGTCGTTATGGAAACCACGTGGGCTATTGCCGTTAATTAGCTGGTGTACACGCACAGTGGGGGACTCCAGCTGTGACCGCTCTCACACTCACCGTTCCACCCAGAGAAAAATGTCCAGGCGATACAGGCACCCTGAGCTGCTGGCCTGAGGAACTGATTGCTGAATTTCTACTCCTTCTAAGACCCTCTCAGCTGAAAGGATACAGCTGATTTTTTTAAAAAGCAACAAAATAACCCCTGATAAACACCAATGCAGTTGCATAATAAACATAAAAAAAAAAGCAACATGACTCATCCGAAACTGACTAATCCTACAGTAGCAGTGCCCAGTAATGGGACTCTTTGAGCACGCACTTAGAAAAGAAATTGAAGAAAAATTAGACTCCCGTGGGTCCAGCGTGGTTCGGCACATAAAGGCATTTGTTGTGCAAGCCTGATGACCTGCGCTGAATCCATGGATCCCACATAGTACGGATTCTTGGAAGTTACACTCTGGCTTCCACATGCTATGCTGCGCGCACACACACACACTTTAAGGAAAATAAGCTCCTGATTGGAAACACAAATTATCAAAATAAAGTGGAACAAGTTATCAAATGTGAATTCAATAAAAAGAAATACTGAAAAAAACTGAAATGCTGGAAGTAAATACATAAGTAAAATAAAAAGCTCTGTGAAGAAAATTAAATAAATATTAGCTAGTCAGTTTTTGTCAACTTTGTACAAGCTGGGGTCATCTGGGAAGAGGAACTTCAATTGAAAAACTATCAGATCTGCCTGGCATTCTCTGGATTAATGATTGTCGTGGCAGAATCCAGCCGGCTGGGGGCCATGTCACTACCGGAGCAGGTAGCTGTGAATTGTGCAAGAAAGCTGGCTGAGCAGGGCAGTGGTGGCACACACCTTTAAGTCCAGCATTCGGGAAGCAGAGGCAGGTAGATTGCTGAATTTGACACCGACCTGGTCTACAGAGTGAGTTCCAGGACAGCCAATGCTACACAGAACCCTGTCTCAAAAAACAAAACAAAACAAAACAAAATGGAAGGA